TAGATCCCCAACTGATTCACCAGTTCAACCACCTGTGACCAGATTATCGATTCTCATCAAATAAACGCAGGACCATGTGATGATGGAGTCAGTGGTTTTGTATCAATAATCATATCATGTGTGGAGTTTAAAGAAATTAATGATGAATAAATTTAGATGAAAACGAGACAGTGAAATTCATGATTGTAAATAAACAGATTACTAGTAGCTGACCTGCGCCGTCGGAACAAGCAAAATCAACTGATCCCATGGCGCTAAACATCTCACTCCGGCCATTTTGACCGTGACTGCTCGCAGCAACAGTTCTCGCTGTTTGCGGGGCTGTTTGAACTATCCGTCCCGGACTGAATGGGGTTTGTGTAAACGTTGTTCCCGGCTGCGAGAAAAGACCACTGGTGTCCGAGGATGGGATTGTTTTTCTGCGTCGCACACCAGGGGGACGATTGGCCATTTGGATTTGCTGTTGTAGACGCATAAATACAAATGTATGTAGGTTTTGTACAATGAATTCGGTTGTTATGAATAAGCAGGTCGAGAGTGCCAGACCATTGTCTCACAGGTTGCGTGTTCTATTTGTTGTTTGACATTGACTACGTAGCACAAACAGCGATATTCGGTCATTTGTATCCTTTGTATTACAAATCATATATTTAATGGGACGATACGAATGTATGAGTCATTGTATACTTGTTTCATTGTTCAAAGGAAGAGGTGCCATCTCAGCTATCTCGAATGTATGAATACTGGTGGGGTGGGTGTAAGTTGTCGAAACTGATTTCCGTTTAGTCAATTACTCTTTCTAGTTCCTCTGCAGTGCAACTTGAATAGGTTGCAGGGCTAGACACATCTCCGCATACACTAAAGAACCTCAGCCAAACTCAGTAATTCCTGGGCAAAGGGAACTGTACCCAATTTCACACTAATTTGGTTAGTCCTAGGTTTGACCCGGGAAACGGGTTCGATGTTGTATTGATCGGCTGCGCCCCAAATTGACTAGGGCAGCTCTACAAAGAAACTTAGACTAGGTCAAAGCTTTTGCTATCACATTCACAAGCCTCCGACGTATTTGCACAAAAACAATTGTTCAAATCGCTTCAATTGCATATTGTGATCTGCAAAAGCATGAGTCATTGGGAAACGTGGTTTACTCCCCGAAGATTGCTATCAACGTGAAACTAGGCCTATTTAAGTTGCAGCGGGTATTTAGCTTTATTTAGATTCTCCATTATATACTCGCGTACGCTTTGTCAGTCATCATAAAATTACTTTCATGGTATTGAAGTGCTTCAAAAACGTAGTACCAAGTACCGTTGAATTTAGCTGTGATTTATCAACACGGAGTTGTTTAGTAGATTTGCGTTTAACCACAAATTACTTTACTGCGTTTACTAACACATTAGCTGTACGCAAAATTTGTGAATCCGAAGTGACCATCTGTATAGGCTGAAGTTGTGTGATTTACTTTATCGGATTCGATGCAACTGTCTTCCAATTGAAGGCAAAAAATGCGACGTTCTTTTTTCGCTAAATTATCGGTAAAGCAATGTCCATAATAGGGAAGGAGTCACTCCAGACGTTAAATCAAATTCACATGCGCGAATCTCCTCAACCATAAGAACCGCGTTGTTTTATTTCGCAGCACTTCTGGGTAGTGAGCAAACCTGTCAAAGTCGATTGAAAACTCTAGGTAACTTAAATTCCGGGGATTTTGTGAGCTAAGGAACATTGAGAGGTGTCAATCTGACCCGACTCTATTTGCCTCGAATAAGTCACACTACACCTCAATCGCATAAATGTAAATGACTGTGCGATTTCGTTTGGCAACTATTCGTCGATCAATCAGTCACTTTTTGCAGTCTTTCGAGTTGATACGAAGCCGAGAAAAGTAGGTCAACAGACAAGACGACATGGCCGGTTACGTCGGTGCTACTGATGCGATTGAGGTTCAAGGAAACGGATAGAAGTGATGATAGGGATGTCGGAAGTGCCAACAATAATCATTACTCCTCGCTTCAATTCAATAAAAAATCATTTCATACTGATGGACAACGAGGACTAGCGGAAATGGATGACGATGTTCCGTAATGGATGTTAGCCTTATCGCTTAGACTCAACAGAAAATACGGTAAGCAGCTTGTTCGTGTTTGCCACCAACCAGCTTTTCGTATTTAAGAGGATATGTTAAAATTATTTGGCATTATTTGGAGTGCAGAGATCTACGGAACTCCCAAAGCAACTTAAATACATCCCTTATGGTTTTCAACCGCAGCGTGATGTTTATGAAAAAGCCCCAGTCAACAAATTTCCTCTGTATTGATCCTATTTGCAACACAATGGCTTTTGATCAATTAGCTCAGATGAAAGGTAACAAATGGATTATGCGCAGCTGACGATCCAAGTATACCTACACACTCGGGTAATAATATGCCCAATTTATTCGAAAAGTACGCGTTGGAGAGCAATAAAGTTATTGAAAACAAGTGAAAGGTCACTTGTAATGCGTGTATATAGTGCATAGTGACTCCTCAGTATTGTTTACCGTTCCTTTAGTTCATTTTGCGATCT